GTAATTTTCTAAACGCTTCTACTTACTAAGTATCAGATTCAGTCCCTTGAAGACTGAGTTTCTCCTAAATAATATATAAGTATTTATTTCGTACCTCACAGGAAACACGTCTCCGCTACAAAAGCCAACCGGTTAATGCTGTTTAAGGAAAAAAAATGCTGTTTATTGTGAGATCAATACGGAACACACACGTTAAACGTTAAAAGTGGTGGTATGTACAGTAACCACTAGACTTTAAGTGATAAATGTGTCGCGTTCGGAGCAGAAGTCATAACATTTCTTCCATATTGTCACGTATTACGTGTGTCTGCAGAAAAGTTTTGGGTTGGTGGATAGATTTATCGACCACTTACAGGTCATATCTACAAAAAACCATAAGACTAACGCTATTTCTACACTTTACACTTCACTAGAGCACACAGTCTAGTGTTCTCGGTCTGTTAGTAGATGTTTCCTGGTGACGGCTCCAACAACGGCTATTCCTCTGTCTGCTGCTGAAGTCCTCTCTTAGCAGACTCCCGTACACAACTGATTCTTGTCTCGATTGTAACTTCTCGACACGGACCACTTAGAAAACACAGCTCTTCCATTTTTATAGTTCAACTGTTGTATCATTAAGAATCTGCTACTTAGCAACGGGAACGTGATTGCCGAGCTGTTGCTCAGAAACGGCCCTGGTATATCCGTCTATCTCGCCGTCGTTACATAGCAACGGCTCTACGCTCAACAATATTATGCAGATTTACTGTGCCTCAGACTTTGTGTTGCTTATGTTATGTTCGTATTTAGGTAATATGAATTTGTATTTTAACAGACAGCCATTTTGCATATATCCATCAATTGGAGTTGACAATCGTTAGACTGAATTATGCTGCAGTGCACTAATGATAAAGAAAGTGTAGTCAGGGTCGAAGCAATAGAGCAGGCGAGCTAAGCGGTCTGCTTGAGAAGGCATGATTTTGGGGGATGCATATTATGGACCTCCCTTTTATGACTTTTGTTAAATGTACATTAATTTCTGCTGCTTTTTGTTTCGTACTATGACCATTAATTGGCAATCATCAGACATATTATGCAACAATGTAAATACAACTGTAAACTGAGAACTTTTTCTTGTCTGATTGCGTAACCTCAAGGCTTCTCCGACTCCGCGATTGTTATGACCGGATGAGACCGTACCTTTATCGCCGTTTCTTTAACACCTGTTTTAATAATTATGACAATAAAAACGGTTTCGTCACAGTGTCCAAGAATTTCAATGCAATTTTTCATTTTGAAAAGGTTTTGAGAAAGCTGAGCTATTCTTAATTGTGGGGTGGCAAGATCTCTTGTCGCCTAGGGCGGAATTTCGGTTCACGAATTCAAATTTCTGCTGAGACCGTAACAGTGGACTGACTGGACTACGACTGGTGCTGAATTCTGCCTTTGTCCTTTTGGCATTCAGGAGCAATGTGATGCATTAGCAGTGAGAGCTGAAACCTCGGAACATGTTTACTTTGCGGTCAGACAGAACAAACATAGACGACCCGCAATTAAAAACAGGAGGCTTTGTGTTCTGATGACGTCACTTCTATACACGACTCGCCCAAATGACGCAATGGTTGACACAATTTCGACACGCGGACGCAAAATACTCTGAAGAAGCCTTGCTAATTTTTTCGAAGTAACAGAATTTTTATACCAGTCTGCTCTTTCTTCTTCGCTTAATGTGACAGGCAATCGAACCCCTTCCCACACCGATTCATTTCATCTCTTTCAAGATCTTCCGTGGTTTCTTCTTCCTTTGGGCTTGTACTGCGGAATATGTTTCATTATCCCTTCATCTGCCATTCTCTTCAAATGATTTAGATATTTCTGTCGGTATTCATCTACTTTTGTATTCTGATTTCATTGTATTTATAATAAGACCACTACTGCTACTCTTTCTACTACTGCTTGTACTACTACCACTTAATCACTTTTGCCAGGGGTTTTCAGGTTATGCTTTATGTTAGCGTTACCTCCTAAAGTAATACATAAATTTACGCCCTCCTAATCCCTTAATCATTTTATTTGAATGTTCCCAAGCTTCTCTGATTTGTCCTTCTAATTAAGGCATTATGAAATTAAGGCTTTAGGATAGATAGAAATAGTGACTTGAGGCAGGCGCCGTGGAATTTAATTTTATGAATTATTATTGTGCCGATCGCAGTGGCCACGCGGTCTAAGGCATGAACTATCTTCGCTCGCTCAAACACTGGGATCGTGGGTTCGAATCCCGCTCAAGGCATGGATGTATATCTGAGTTTAGTCTGTGTTTATGTAGGTATTGGCCTTGCGACCGGCTGATCCCCAGTCCAAGGAGTCCTACCGACTGTCTTATTATTATTAAGATACTGAAGCGAAACAAAGCGTTTCGCGGATGTCCTACACTCCGAAGTGGGGGTAACAGGAAAAAGAAGGGGGGGGGGAAGAATTCGTATTGAAATGCGTAATTCGGAAAATATAATTTGATATCTTTTACAGCAAAGCGTTTAATGTCGATGAATTTAAGTCAGGTGGGCTGCATAAGAAACCTTACTGTGAGGAGCTAGAAATTGTGGACCATCTCTGCTTTAAAGCATGAGACAATGAGGAAATCCCGTCTCGCACCCACACAGCCATTAAGTTTCACATGATTAAACAATCTGTCAGGTTAGCAGCAGAGGAATCTCTGGTTGCGTCTGGTTACGTGTACCATACACCTACATCTGTGCTACCTGGATATGACACACTTCTGCAAGACAGCACTCGCTAGAGGAGCAGTGTGTGTAGTGGACAGTGACGGAAGGACGGAGAAATACATTTAACGTTTTCTGTTTATCTTCACTGAGTTGTGATGGAGTCAACGGTTTGGCTAGCCGGAAAGAAAACCCACTTCGTTGTTCATGATCAGCTAACTGCTGGTTGCCGGTCGCCCTTTACCCACAGAAAGTTTCCTACTCATTTCTGTTAGAGGCTGAGTCGACCCCCAAGGCCATAGTGCGGCTGGAAGGATTAGGTCAATTGAAAAAATCTATTTCATCAGGATTCGATCCGGCGATCTTCCGGTTTGTAGCACAGTGCCTCTTATCTTTGCAGTTTTATTCCGAAATATCCACTGTGTCTTGACGTACTCATGTTGAGATGGAGAGAGGCAGCGTGTGTACCACAAGAGTACCATTTGCCCCCAACTGTAAGCCAATAAGCGAACACGCTGTCGCTTGTCGTCGTTGTTTTGTTTATATGCATTCCATAGATACTGCGAACAGAGTATAGACTATAGGCTTTACATTTATAAGCTCCCAAAGAGTAATAAAGCCGGTCACGGTAGCCGAGCGGTCTAAGGCATATACTGTCTTCGCTCGCTTGGAAACCAGGATCGTGGGTTCGAATCCCACTCAGGGCATGGATGCTTAGTTTGTGTGTGTGCGTTTTTCTGTGTTTGTGTACAGGTAGAGGCCTTGCGACGAGCTGATCACCCGCCCAAGGAGTCCTAGCGAATGTGTAAGATCTAGAAAAAACCGAAGTGTACGGAGAGGTTCATGGAGGTAGGCCTAGGCCCACTGGGGCTGTAGAGCCAAGGAAAAAAATGAGTAACAAAAATTGTAGTTTACTTTTTCAGTGTTATTTTTATTAATTAAAACTGACTGTATATTAAACCAATAAAAGTAGGCAGGATATTGAGACTCGTGCGCGGGAATGCGACATCTGCTGAGCGGCCGCGCGAGCATGCGTAGCTTACAATGAACATTGATTGTGACATATTAATGGAAGTCCGCCGACGTTTCGGAGCAGCCAAGCAAAAAAAAACACAAAGAAAAAAGCGGCATGTTGTTTTATAACTCGGCTTACCTTTCGACACTGACGATAGAGGCTCTACGTTTCTCGAAACTTCGGTGGACTTGCACCAGATTATATGTCATTACAACGCAGACTAGTCGCCGCTGTGATAATCTCAAACCCAACTGGATTCACCGTTCAACGTTATTTACTAAAGAAAGGATGAAGTTACTGACCTTTTTCTGACGTCAAAGGATGAGCATTTAAAAGCGTGTCACATGTCTAGAAGGCTTGAACATAATCATAAGAGTATGGATGTCGTAAGAGGGATGACGCCATATATTTTACATCTTCAGAAAGCTAGATTTCAATGAACTAGCTGTAGACACGTGTCTTAACAATATACAGAACTTCGGAGGTATGTCTTCCGGGGAAACCCCTTCTTGCTTCATATTAGTTTCCTGCTTGGCTCATTCTTCGGCCCTGATGATGGAGGCATCATGCTCGTCCGAAAATTTAGTTGCTTTTAAGCGGAATATATGGCGTCATATCACAGAATTTGGAGATCTTCATAATTACCTTTGTGAAAAAGTCTGATTCTGCAGTTTTTGTGCGTCCCGCTCGTTTAAAATCAAATTATATAGATCTATGTATATCCAACTCACGAGCACAGAAAACATGATAAGAAAAACTCAAAACAATTCGGTCCATTCTTCGGACTGGATATTTTTCTTTCAGTTACAAATTTAATTCCATGTGGATCATATCCGTTTTATTACATAAAACTATGTCCAGTGTAATTTCAAAACTAAACACTGAACTTCATAAAGGTTACAATTTTATGTTTATTAACGTTACAAAATAAGTGTCCATAACAGATCTGATGTATAGGGTCTAATCTACATTTCTACAAAATAAGAAATTCATGCAAATTTATTTTCGTATAAAATCAGTATCAAGTAGTACAATATTGTCAATAAATGCTCTGGGTACCGTATTTGCTATTACAGCTTACTTCGTGGCTGTGTATAACATTTTGAACTGATGTGTGTCACCTATCGTCTCTCTCTTATGTAATATTATTTTATTCATCAAGATTTTCTCGACAATATCACATATTATCAAATGTTATTAAATATTTAAAGTCTGAATTTGTTCTAAATAATATGTAAAAACTCAGTTTGTACCTCACAGGAAACACGTCTCCGCTGCGAAAACCAATTGGTTAATTCTGTTTAGGGAAACAGCCGCTGTTTGCTGTGAGAATCATACCGACTAAATTAAAATTCTCTGTGGTCAGAACGCAGAGTTTAGTGTATCAGAGTAGGTGGTATATATAGTAACCACTAGGTTTTAAAGAGTTAATTGGGTGTAGAAGAAATCTATTCGTTCTTGTCACTTTTGGGTGGCAGACTTAGCAGATACGCCACAGCCTTCCCGATGGCTTCAGGAACTGGAGGCGCCGTGGGCAGGTGTTCGCCTATAGGTACATATCCCTTCTCGTCTGCTGTATACGAGACAGAATAGGTCTTCCCGTCTTCACCGATGTACGTGAAGGAACCTTGGGACACTTCCCCAGCCTTATCGGGTTCAGGGCCCACGACCTTCAGCTGGCCCGATTGCTGTACCTTGGTTCCGTCTCCACCCTCGTACCTGCCACAGTTTACAAACTTCCGAATCACACTGTATTCAGCTTCACAAAGCACAGCTTTATGTGCCAACCGCCTCAAGAACTTTCCTGACCGTATTCAAAAAGAATTAGGTTCGAACCTCAGCCACGACACGGGATAGCCTGACTTTTTCTTAGTGCCTCCAGGCAAGTTCTGGGATAGTACTGCTATCAGGTCACGGCCACTTCCTTCCAAGTCTTTTCCATGATTACCCTATTCGACGCTATGTACCTGAGCTCCTGATAGCGTCGCAAAACAAACTAGAAGAAAACTCTCCCTGTGACAGGCCGAGGAGGTCTATAGGATTGTGAGACGTCGAGGCTCCCACGTTTTCTAGACAATCGGCCCACAGATGGCGGTGAGGTTGTCAGCCCTACGAGCCAGCCGTCCTTTACTCCTCAGGAATATTCCTGGTACTCATTTCTGTTAGAGGCTGAGTCAACTCCAGGGCCACAGTGCGGCTGGAAGGATTAGGTCCATCGAAATAAAAGTTAAAATGAACTCTGCAAGTGCCTATTTACAGAAATGTATGTCTGACATCATGTTGGGGGCGCGTGGTAGCGTAGTTGATTAAAGCACTGTGTTACAAGCCGGAAGGTCGCGATTTCGCGGCCCGATGAGGTGGATTCTTACCAATTGACCTAATCCTTCCAGTCGTATTATGGTCCTGAGGTCGACTCAGCTACTAACAGAAATGGGTACTAGGAATATTCCTGGGGGTAAAGTGAGCCCGGCGCGTAAGGCTGACAACCTCACCGCCATCAACATCTCATTTACGAGATTGGGTGTCTTGGCTGAGATTCGAACTGGGTACCTTCGGAATTCAAGGCAGAAAACAAGCTCAACCGTGAGTTTTCTTTCTNCAATGTTTCGGAGGTTGGGCTGCCTACTTCTTCAGGCAGAAACCTATTCAGAGCTATACCTTATCGATTGGGCCCAAATGAGTAGGCTTCCATTTCAGCACGGAGGCAGAAACCAGTCTCCGAAAAACGGATTCTAAATTTAAACAGACAGGACGATGCCTAGTGTTCAAAAAGTTAGCAATTGTATCGCAGTTGGTCACAAACTTATTCGGATCTTGTTTGAAGTACATGCTTACGCGTAATTGTAGGTGCCATCGAAGTTGACGTTGTTCTCCAGCGAAATAATGGGCACAGGCTCCTTCTGGGTCTGCGGTCTGCCAGTTACCGCTGCTGCCACAAAGGGCAGCACGAGGAATACCTGGAGGAAAAGAAAATGGTTATGCACTTACAAATGTTTTTAAGCTTACAATTTACCGACGCTGTCAATGTGGATACTTGTGTAGGTTCCATGATATGATCATAATGAATGTGAAGCGGTTGGTGGAATGAGAAATGGCAAGGGAAACCGAAGTATTCGTGGAAAACTCGCCCCAGTGCCACGTTTTCTGCCATAAATAAGACATGATTTGAGCTTGGATCGAAACCCGATGGCCGGAGTGTAAGCCCGGCGATTAACTTTGAATGGGTTAGAAAAATAAAAATGCTTAACCAAACAAGAAAACTAAAAAAGTTAATAAATGCATGATTTTTGCTATAGTTCGCTTGCCGACTAAAACCACGGAGTTTGTTTTATAATATTAAATCTTATGAAAGTTATGAAGTAGCCGTAGCGTACGTTAACAATGAATGCATAACGAGATAGTTATGATGAGGATAGAAGATGATTGAAAAATTCTTTGAAGAAGGCAGGCGAAATTATGTCCGAAATATTTGAGAACAGAGAGCGTTAAGCCACGACCACTTCCTTCCACATTCTTTCCAATTATTATCCACTCACTTTCCTACCATTGAGCACAGCCCGAGCTACTGAGATTTTCGTGAAATAAAACACAATTAAACACATGATAAATAAACAAATAAATAATGCGGATATATAACTAAATTAATACATAAATAAATAATGGGGCACGCGGTAGCGTAGTTCGTTGAGACATAATGTTACAAGTCGGAATGTAGAGTGTTCGATTCCCGATGAAGTCATTGCATTTCTCAATTGACCTAATCCTTCCAGCCACACTATGCCCCTGGGGTCGACTCAGCCTCTAACAGAAATGAGTACCAGGACTCTTCCTGGGGGGTAAAGGGCGGCCGGCCGGTGCGTAAGGCTGACAACTTCACCGCCATTTGTGATTATCTAGAAAATGTGGAAGCCTCGACGTCTCAAAACCCTATGGGCCTTCACGGCCTCTTAGCTTGAGAATAATGTAAACAACGCGATTAGTTCGTAATTAAATAAAATTATGTGCACATAGCAAACAAACGCATTCATATTAGATATGAGGTTGTCACGTCGGTGAATATGAAGATTGCTGTCATCTTGGCTGTGACGTCTTGTAATCTGGTAGAATCATACTGATGTTTCTCAGCAATATTCTGCTTCCATCTTCAGTGTCGAAGAGTGATGCAAACAAGTGGAGCGAGCTCTTGTTCCTCTGAAACTTCAGTAAACGCCTGACAGACTGCACAGCGTCGCATCCCTGAGAACAGTAACCTTCAGACACGTTCGTAATTATATCTATTAGCATTGGTTCCTCTGAACAATTTCGTAAAGCCGTATTGCAGAGTCATCAAGGAAAGACCAGCAGAAGTGGTGTGACGTAACTGGGTAAGTAGTGGTTACTGCAGGAGATGTTTCAGCTTGCGTCACTCAAGGTACTTACGAATTTCATCACTGATGAGCCGTTACTCTGCACGTATTGGCTGAATGTGTGGGCCAAGCCAAGGACTCCCACTATTTATACACCCTGGGATTGGACCTATTGCCCTTTCGTGGAGGCGCACCCTACAAATAACGGAAGAAGATATGCTGGGGTGGGGGCAGTATAATTGAATTGTTTTCTCCTCTTGATCAAACTTTGGAGCACAGGGTTGATTTCTCAGTTTCATTGACCATTTTTACAGACGGTAGGACTCCTTTCACCAAGTCGTAGGTGGTGGACAATATTAAAATGGATCTTAGAGAGATAGGATGGGTTGGTATGGATTGGATTGAGCTGGCTCAGGATAGGGACCAGTAGAGGGCTCTTGTGAACACGGTAATGAACCTTTTGGTTCCATAAAATGCTGGGAAATTCTTGAGTAGCTACAGATTTGGCTTCTCCTCAAGAAGGGTTCAGCTCCATTTATAAGTAAGTAAGTAAGGACCCCTTTCACGGGTGAGCAGCCCCTCGTAAGGCCTCTACCTAAACACAGGACAACACAAACACAGAAAAGCGCACACACACCAAACACCCATGCCTTGTGTGAGATTTGAACCTACGATCCTGGCTTCCGAGCGAGCGAAGGCAGTACATGCCTTAGGCCGCTCGGCCATTGTGACCGGCACACACAAGTACAGTACGTTCAAATTCATAAAAGTACAAGTATACGCCGTCTAGAACATCTTGAAGTGTATAGAGTTTGAGGTTCTGACAGCCGTGGTTATGAACAGTTCTATCCTGAGTAGTAAAACCGGCTTTTTTCTAGCTCCTTCCTTGTCTTATTCTGAGATCGTAAAGATGGAGGCATTATTATTCTTCGAAAGTTCAGGGACTTCTGCTACACAGATCATCGTATTGTTTCATCACTGAAGGCTTCCAGTAATATTAATATCCTAGAAGTTCAGCATAGTGACTGGCTATGGGCTGGACGATCGAGAGGTCGCAGTTTGAGTCCCGGTAAGGTCCAGAATTTTCTCTCCTCTATGTCGTCTAGACCGGCTCTGGGGACCTCCTCACCAATGAGTACCGGAGACTCTTTCCCGGTGGTAAAGTGGTCGGAGCGTGATGTTGATATTTCGCCTCAAGTTAGTGCCGAGGTCAAGACATGGAGAATCCATACATCCACACCCCCAAACGCCTTCATTGCGTAGTGCTTAATTAGTTAAGCACAAAGACAACTTTACCTTTTTCACAAGGAAATGATTACGGTCTTCTGAGATATTATAACATATATTTATTTTTTTGTAATTTTACGAGGATTTTAGTAAGTAAACTGTATAGAGTTGCTTGGTGGGATGCTTCATGAATTGATATGGTCTGGAAGGTAGTGATCGTAGCCACATGGAATTAATATGCCTCGAGGAACTGAGAAAAGTCACGAAAATTCTCGGTCAGGATAACCAGTATCCCGACTAACAAATCAAACATCACCCAAATAGAAGTCCAGATGATCACTCCTACACCAGCCCTCTCAGTGAAGCGCTTTTGTGTCCATTACGTCACAACACCCTGTTATACATATATATTACCTGTTTCTAAGGCGTAGGTGGCAGGATAATATTAAAACTCGTCTTAGAGAGATAGGATGGGGTGGTATGGACTTGATTGATCTGGCTCAGGGTAAGGACCAATGGATGACTCTTGTGAACACGCTAGTGAACCTTCAGGTTCCATAAAATATTAGGAAATTATTAACTGAGCGACTGGCGACTTCACACGAAGGGCTCAGCTCCACGGAGTTAGTTTATTTGTAATGGCTGTGGTTTGAAATTACGTAAGAAATTATATGTGCAATTTTCTGTCATGAAGATGGAAGCAGTACCACAGAAGACAGTATTCTTTAGTATTTAATCAATTTTGTGTTAGGATTAATAATAGTATTGGCAACAACCGGGGTTAGTTATGTCAGAAGACGGGTCATGTGCAAAATATACATGTATGAGGTACAACAAAGGGTCTGTAGTCGTAGTGTGTGATGAGACTGGGAATCAATCAGCATTCCTCCCTGTGAGGACACAGACACAAGACATGTATAGACTGGCAAAAAACTTGTTTCCTCAGAGGTCAACGAGTGACTTGAAAACATCACATGTTGTGAAATATACAATTTTTATTTCATTGTTGGTTGAGTAATCTTCTTGCACCCCTTGTGAACCACAGCTGCAATATATACTGCTCCCCGCTCCCAACTTCGTCGCCTAGTTAATACTGTTCAGTTTCTAAATGGATGCCGTCACAAAAATTTGTTAATATTGTCACGTCTAGGGTTGACTATAGACGAGGTTTGGATTGGTGAATCGATTTATTGACCACTAATAGACACCACTCGCAACTACAAGTGATTATAATGCTATCACTAATCCACACGATTTAAAAATTACTAAAGCACACGCTAAGTTTTCTCAGTTTGTTTTCAATAGTCGTTTCCTGATATCGGATCTTAACAATGAAGATTCTTCAGCTTCTATGTTCACGTCATTATTGTCCGGCGAATATCCCGCAACTGAACTAATCTCACAATCAGAATCAGAGTCAGAGTCAGAGTTATTGTACGACTGGCTGTTTATCGACAACCAGTTCTTGGAGCCAAATTCCTTGAGACTCACGACCAGTATTTTTTTTTAACTGGACACTTGCGATTATAGTTCTCCTGTAACATCCTCTCGTCATAGAGGATGGGTCTGTTGCTTACAATTGCTCCTGGTCCTCACCAGTGCAGTCATTCTCGGGTGTGAGTCCTGCGGGACTCATGACCGCGTTTTGCTGTCTCAGATTCAGGAGTCCCCAAACCTGGAGGGCTAGGTCCCCGTATTTATTTACCCCAGGAACAGTTACTAATGTAACCAGACTATCGAATATTAAAACTTTATGAAATATGCCCACACGTGGATATGAACTGAGAATTCCGAGGTGTAAAGAAGGCATGTGGAAATTGCATCCACTCCAGTACAGGCTGAAGCTTTACAGCTTTGTTCATTAATAACCTGATTAACACTCAATGAAACGTCCCCATGTCATTTGCAGAATCTCAGTAAGAGCATATAAGAATATTTGCATACTAGTAGGCTCAGCATATCTAGATGTCTTCTTCTGCTTTTCTTCTTCAGAACAAGATTACAAAATAACGCCTGCATGTAGACCTCCTTGACCCACAACGCTTGTCTCCCTGCCATCTGTCGGTTGCGAGAAGGATGCTTAAATCGTTTTTGCATGCATGTCCACTATAGCGAATTTTTAGTTTAATTTTTCCCTTCGTCAGCAAACCTGTTTAGATGGCTTCAAGTCTCTCCTGGAAATGCTAGTAACACCCTCCGTAACATCCTCTCTTCCCATGGAACGATTTCATTACACTATAAAAATAGACTTGTTTTATAATGGAGTTTGGAAACAGACGGCTCTTCTTTTAAGATTAAATCAGTGACGTATTTTGACTGTTGTGAGTCTTCCGTGGTCTCAGCTACGTTAGCTCGATCGATCTAGTATTTGTACTGGATGTAGTAATCCTCTGAGGAAATTGTGGCAATTCTGAAGCATTTGGCTTCTTATTTTTAACTGATTCTAGGTTTATTTAGTTATTTTGAGAATTCTAAATCGGGTAAATGAGGTTAATATTGCCAAAGCAGGATGTATGAGGAAGTCGCTTACTTACTTACTTACTCATGGAGCTGAGCCCTTCTGGAGGAGCCGCCAATTCTGCAGCTACTCAAAATTTACCAGCATTTTATGGAACCCGAAGGTTCACTACTGTGTTCACAAGAGCCCTCCACTGATCCCTATCCTGAGCCAGATCTATCCAATCCATAATGACGAAGTCGCTGCAATAGTTAAACCTACTGTCAACAGATACCAGCACCATCGGCGGTACTGTGTTGCCAAATTAAATTTTATTGTCAGAAGAAAGGAAACTGAGTCTTTTGTTCAGTATCTGCTGTTAAGATATATGGTATGCGGGAACTTGAGGCTACACATTGAAAAAAAAAGGTACTGTTTTTATTTATATACGAAGTGACATATTTGTTTGAAAGCAAGAATTTGGTTGGTAGCAATATCCAGCACATCGGAACTAGCATGACTACAATTGTATCTCTCAAATATATGAAAAATCGTTAGTTTTACGGATATATAAAACTTATTCATGCATGGAATAAGGAAGAATAAATTAATTCTGTTTCAGAGATACAGGGAACAAGATGACTCTGATGAAGATTGCGAGAAGGAATGTAAACAACAAACACAGATGATAGGGGAAATGAAGCTACAAATAGGATTACATTTTTGAGTTGTCCAGAAGCAACGATATAGAGAAATAGTCCACATATAGAAAGGTAAAACTATGGAGGCCCATAGGGTTGTGAGACGTCGAGGCTCCCACATTTTCTAGACAATCGGCTCACAGATGGCGGTGAGGTTGTCAGTCTACGCGCCGACCGCCCTTTACCCCCAGGAAGATTCCTGGTACTCATTTCTGTTAGAGGCCGAGTCGATCGCCAGGGCCATAGTGTAGCTAAAAGGACTATGTCATTTGAAAAATCTAACAACCTCATCGAGAATCGAACCCGCGATCTTCCGGCTTGTAGTATAGTGCTTCAAGCAACTACGCTACCGCGTGCCCTCATGTAGTCTTCATGTAATCCTAAAAATTTTGCAAATTATGGACGCGGAATTAGCATATAGAAAAATAACAAATTGTACATACAAGCAAAACACATATAAGGAATGTAAGAAAATATTTGGACAGGGTGAGGCGTGTGCGAGAAAATTAGACGGGACAGTAAGTAAGCTGTAAATAGACAAACTGAAATGTGAAAAAAAAAATTGTAGACGCGAAGTGGACTGTACATCATAACAACCGGGTGTTAAAAATTGTAAGGCCTCGTACAACTGAATAACTGGATTCAGTTCGATAAATAATTCTCTCCACACCTCCCAGAAAATATTCTTCTCTAGAGCTCGTGATGAAATCCTAAAGATATAATATTAT